ACCAACCGAACCAGACACCTCTTCCAGTCTGTTGCAGGCATTTCAATGAAATAGAACATAAGAGCCTTGAGCGCAACAGGGCGACTAGCTTGGGGCATTCACGTCATCTTCCCTGACATCATTTCGCTCGGCCGTCCGTTTCTCTGCGTCCAGCAGCCATTTGCTTCCATAGGGCAGCTCTGCACCTTGTCCCCAGACCGCCAGGCTCGGGGAAAACAGACACCCAACCCAAGCGCAGCACTCAGTTTCTGGGGTCAGGTGTGTTCTGCGAACCTTTGGATCGTCTCACCATGGATCCTCGGCTTGCGGAGCTTCAAGCGCTGAAGGCCTCCCTTAAGCTCAAGGAGCAGGCCGATGGTATGGGCGAAGGTGATCCGTTGCAGGTTTGGTGCATTGTTTGTTTGTTTGTTTGTTTGTTTGTTTGTTTGTTTGTTTGTTTGTTCGTTCGTTTGTTTGTTTGTTTGTTTGATTGGTTCTGGATTTAGTTGTGTTCTTGTTTGTCTTATTGGTTTATCGCTTAGTGTTGCCATATTTTGCGATAAAAACTTTGGTCATCTTCAGTCGCAGGCCGTGTAGCTGGTTTTCTAGCCCATTTGTGATGTGTACGGTCTTTTGAACACAAACATTTTTGGAGAAGGTAACATACGGGATACACAACGTACAGGGACATATGGTGGATAGTTGAGTTGCACAAGCCATTCCTGACGGTGTGGAGTATTTGAAGCAGAGAGATGGATGAGATCTGGGTGTGTCTCAAAGTAGGGGGTCTGCCTTCACATTGTTTTAAGGGGAAGCCAAGAAGAAATCAACCACCTGAGCTGGGTCGAGATAAGAAGGTCAGCGGTGAGAGAAGATATTCGTTCAAATGTGCCCACCCTCGCTCAGTCGGTGAGAGCAGACAAGCTTTTTCGAGCGATATCTGGAGGGAGCTGTCTGGATTGTTGAAGCGGTAAGTGATCTTACCTGATTTTGTTGTTTTTGCAAAAGGAAACCAAAAAGGAGATGGGTAGTTAACAGTTTTCTCCAGACACCCTTTTTGAAACCCAGTTGCTTCAAGGGCTCTTCGCAAGCCGCAAGCCGCAAGCCGCCAGGATTGCTTGGAGGTGGTCAGCGTTGGATCGGGAGCCTGGGCGGCGGTCTTCGCATGCATTCTGAAGCGCCCTTTGGCATACTGGACTTGCATTGCGGACTTTTTTTAGTGGACCCCCAAACTGCTGGTTTTCCTTTTGGTTTCCCTGTACCACTGAATCAGAGGGTACCCTCAAAAATGACGAACCCCTGTGAACCCGTCTGCTGACTTGTGTCAAGTGTTTGCCGGAGTTGAGCATATCGCCTTTATTTGGGTCGTTGACTGCTTAGCACTGTCTGGCGAGATGCATTGAACCCTGTTTCAAAACCCCCCCCCCTTGCCCCCGTTTGCCCGCCCCCGTCCCCTGTAGCACCCCTCAAAAGAAAACCAATTCCAAACTGCACGAAAAAAACTCCAACTCCCTTCCTCACCACCCAAACACTGGGTGGGCTTGCTTTGTAGGGCATGCACTCTGCGAATCTTTTGTTTCCAAAGTGTCACTTTCAGGAGGGGCAATGCTTGGCATGGGTGTTGAGCGTAATATAAGACACTTAATATGTCCGCACACCATTGTTATCATGATGATTTAGTTGGGTTGTGCAGTGCACCACTGCCCCATTCTAATCATCTAGGTCCTGAAAGGCTTACAGTATGCCCCACCTTGCCCTACTTGATTGTTCTTTGCTCCCTGAATTTCGGCCCCCGACCTCGTGCTCAGGGAAGTATGCCGACTACCCGCAACACCTCCGTGTGCGCATGTGGCGGCGCCCTGGGAAGCGGATCGCCGCGAAGCAGGCGCAGAAGCTGCGGCTCGCTCAGACAAATGTTGCGGTCGCGGCGGGCTCTGACTGTCGTTGCCGGCGGTTTCTCAGGAGTGGGGGAATCAAAGTCAGAAGCTGGGGTTGGATCCCCCTCAAAGTACCTTTTGAGGGGCCGAGTTAAGAATGCAAAAGTGCTGGGGCCAATCTTGGGCAAATTACGGCAAACTCGGATTGGTGGTGTGAAATCTATGAAGGTTCCCTGCCTGCATGCTTGCGTATCCCAACCCGAAAATGCCCAAAGTCGGCACAATGGAACGGAATGGCTCAGGAGTGTCATACCCTACCAACAAACACGGAAGCACACAACCGGCTTTCCAAGGAACAGGCTGTGTTTTCCAATTGGAGTCTGTGCACTTTTATGTTGGTGGGAGGGTAGCGCTTGAGGTTGCTTGTCCCAGTCTAAGCGACATATATTGATCGTATTCGGCACGGAAGCGATTCAGTCACATGTTTTGCCTTGCGGATGGGTGCTCCCAAAAGGGCCTCCTCCAGCACGATTTTATATATTGTGGCACGGGCCGCATGTGAAACCTGTTCCCTACGAAGGGGATAAGCCACCAATCCCAAGTGCCCGCTGGGCGAGGAATTTGCCCATCCCTACGTCCCAACAGCCAAGGTTGGCCCAGATCAACAGCAAGGCCGAGGTGCTGGAACGGCTCCGCGACAATGGCAGGCAGCCAGAGTTTGGTCCAGGGGCCTTTGTGTTGACATTAAAAAAAAAAAAAACATCAAACTTAGTTTCGTTCTGGTTTCCCTTTGGCAGTTTTGGAGGAGGAGGAGCTTTTGTTAGTGCTGGTGATGAGTCCAAGAAGCGTGCCTCGCCTGAAGCCGCCAATGCCGAATTAGGATATAGTCTTAGAAGTTGCCTGATGCGCATTCATGATATAGACCAATGCTGTGTGTTGTTTCTGGGTTTTGTGTGGTTGAAGCGAAGTGTTTCTTGGTAGGAGTCTCCCTATGTCTCTGGGTTTTTGAGTATGGTCAATTTCTATCTTCCCGCAGTTCGCCTCAGAAACGGCACAGCTCCCAAAGTTTTCCGTTCGCCCCACTCCAGGCTGCTGCGGTACGTGGACGCATCTTTGGACCGACCAATTGACCCGCCCCTTACCGCTGAGGAGGTGCTGCAGGAGAGATCTGTTCAGCTCTTTTGGCTGCGGGGCTGTATCTTCGGTTGTAAAATTCGGCTAAAGGACACTTCCCCCTATCAGGCCTCAAACAAAAAGTGTCCCTGGATTCTTGGCTGAGCAAAGTCCCAACTCCTGCAATGATGCGGCTAGCCCTGTCCTCTGGTTGCCTGTGTCTCTCCATGTCGTTGCCTCTTTAGCTTCGCTCGCCCACTATCTTCCGCTCGGCTTGGCATGTTGTCCTGCTGTTTACGTGGCGTCCACATGGCCACGCCCTTTTCCAGCCTGTCGAGTGAGGATTGTACAAGCGTTGCGCGGCTTAGGCTCGAAGCATGGTCTCGAAAGGTGGTGCAGCCCATTTGTCTTCCTGCATTGCGATGGCGTTCGATTATGTTTGATTCTCGCGGGAGGCCGCATGGCAAACCGGACTCGAGGAACATGGCCGGAGCCGCAGGACGGGTTCTGCGACACCTTGGACGGGGCCCAGCTGCTGCCCATGGAACTCTGCATGGACCTGCAGGAGCGGCAAGCGGACATTCGCATGGCCCGTGTTGGCGGCGAAGTGAATAAAGGGAACATGTCATACGCACATGCGAGACGGCGAGACGTGAGACGTGCTGTGTTTGTTTGAAACAATTGTTGGTGTGCAATGATGGCAACAATTCAATGCGTTTTTGTATTGTGCAGTTGCAACCTATCCCTAGGCCCATGTTGCAAGTTGCCCTTGCAAACCGCTTAGGAAGCCAAACAGATTTGCAGAACAGAGCCACAACAATGTGCATTCTTGCCCATGTTCAGCTGTGAGCCATGTTCCAGTCCGCTCGGCTCCATTCCACGACGCCCTTCGACAGAAAGGCTGAAAGCAGAGCACGAAACGGGCTTGTTTCTCCGCTTGAGTAACTAAAGACGTACGGGCCTGCGTCGTTTTACATCGCTCAAGCGGTAGACCACCTTAAAAACAGGCAGGTTCCATGCATTCGGCTTTCTTTTAAAACCAGCCCACAAAGAGTACTCTTACGTCAAAATGGTATTTTGCAGAAGCAGGCGTGAGACGGCAGACAGATTGTAGAGCCTTGCTGCAGATTTGTATCAGGGCTGATTTGGATGCCATGAGCCAAGGATACAAAAATAGCCCGCTTCTGCCCACAGGAAGCGGCCACCAATGCGGACATTTTGGTGAACGGAGTGCCCAGCACCTCCACACTGGAGGCGCAGATGGGCGACTGCTGCACCCCGGGAATGGGTAAGTGCTCTCGTCGGAATTGCTTTCGTACAAAATCTTCAGTTTCGCCTTCCGCATTTACTCAAAGGAGCTCGACATGCCTGTGAACCGAAGTGCAGACTGCGCTCAGCTTCAAAGTTTGTGGCCCGAAAGCTCTCCGTCCGACTCTTTTTGATACGGCCTGGGGTGGTTAAGCAGTCTCTCCGAAGCGGAGGTTAATCCCAAGACAGTCCGTTTCCCCGAGTAGTTCAAATTGGTGTTCTAACATGCAAACTCACCGATGCTAGATGCTAGATTCGTAATATGCTAAGTATAGACCAATACCAAACTAGCAATGTCGGACCCAAGCACTGGCTTACTTATTAGGGAGCCCACAGAAAAGGGGGAGCCTATTTGGGGACCGAACAGGATCGAAGAGGAAGGAACGGGCGGATTCCTAGTAATGAACAAATGGGTATGGGTGCAAATTAAATTACCAGGGGATCGCAGGTTTTGGTCATTGGTTCTAT